ACAGAATTAGGAAGCCCCTATATTTATAGTTGAAATTAGAAGTTATTAATATGAATAAGATTGTTTCTAAACACATTCTTTATCTTTTACAGGTGGAATAAAGAGAACAACAATTATTACATAAGCAAACTTGCAAACATGAAAGACTATTCTTCTGGGATTATATTTTATTTTTTTTAATGTATTTGTAAAGCACTTTGCAATTTAAGGTGCTTCATAACAGAGAAAACAGTACAATATGGGATGTAAAAATAAAAATAAGTTTTGCTAGATTAACTTATTGAAACATGCCCGCATGCAGGATATATACACATATATGTATATTGAACTCCTGTGTGTATGTGACCCTCTAAACACGCCAAGCTGGTCACCTACCAGATATCCAGTTGCACTGGCACAGGGGAGAGAAGACTGAGTATTGTTGCAAACATAACCACTGCTTTGCACAGTGGCAAGACAAAGGCAAGATGGACCAATACCTTTTTCTTGGCCTGTAGCAGCTCCTGGTAGGCACTGGATCGTATAAAACGAGGATAAGAATCACTTTTCATCAGTTTGTAAATGTGCTCCTGAAAGGGAAAGAAGGAGCTGTTACTCCTATAAAAGAAGATATACATAAAATGGGAGAGTCATATATGTTTTAGTTGTGGAATGCATACCAGCTAGCACTATTTTGCATAATATATCTTATGGGATAGCAGGTTGCCGTTCTGAAGTTAAGGCTGAGTTGCTCTTTGCTCTTAAAGCAGAAATCTCATCTATTTGTTATGTATAAAGAACACAATACATTTATCTCTAATTTATAGTCCCTATTTCCACTATGGAATTATTTTTCTAAGAATTTACAACTGAGTCCTAGCTAAGGCCCAGTTTCAAACCTCCCTTACATTAGTCAGTTTAGCTAAGCAACTAAATCAGGAGCTGCGGATCCTTCCTCATCAGATTTTCTGAATTAGTTGCTGGAGATGTTTTTCTGACTTCATAGGCTGGGAAAAGATACTAGATTTATAATTCAGTGCCCCAAATACATGCTTTAGTTAGGGAGGATATTTCTTGGCTATTCTTGAAAACATCCTTTGACATTTATTTATTCTGCTATCCAGCTGACAATATAAAAAGGAAAATACACATGCAAATTGAAAAATAGTTCCAGGCTAATCTAATTTCCAAGATATTTATTCTTCAGAGAAATATGAAAATTTAGAAACCTTTATTCAGAAAAGAAATTATACAGGAAATTTATAGAGCTTTTCTTTTTGGAGCATTCTCATTTCTGTAAAATTTGAAAGACTAAAAATCTGTGATGTAGGACATTTTAGAATTCTAGTTCTAGTTGTAATGTTAGGAAAGAGATTTGTAGAAATAGCAATTGGAATAGGAAATACTCTCAAAAATTTTTTTTAAAAAATCCACTAAATTGTGTTAGCTATTTTTATCTTAATTTTTATTCAAACCCTACCTTTTACTATAGGAAACTTGTAGAACAGCAATCAGGAAACAGCAAATAAACTGTCAAATAAATACTGTTTCTCAGCTTGGTACTACATAAGATTAGTGAATAGAAATGAAACCAACAAACCACCTTGCTTGAAAATTATGGCAAGATAAAATTAAAGCTGATTTTAAATTTTTGTCATATTAGAAACTCCAGAAATTATTCTAAGTGCCTTTAATTGTATTTCTTGCACTAAGCAGAGAAATTCTGGTGTATATTCAGAACTTGGGCTAGTTCACTTGGGGAGTTTTTATTCCACACAGTTTCTATGAAAGCAGCCAATGTAGCCAACAGAGAGCAGAAAGGACTTTGCTCCTGTTGTACATATCAATGGTGATGGGCATTAAAATGTTATTTCTGTGCAAAAACCAACCCTGTAAAAGTAGGAATAAATTAGGTTCTATTAGTATTGTTAATGTACACGTTAGTCAGAAATTGAGGTCTATTTTTACTTATATATCATCCTAATTTGCCATGGAGTTCTGTGGTGCCATCTTTCAAATCCAGAAATGCTTTTCAAAACATTTTTAACCACAATTAAATGACCTGCTAACTGCCAGAATAACTGTAAGTGGTCTCTTTCCCAACTGGCAGGCCATAAAGAGCCTGTTGCAGAGGCAGAGCCCTACTACTGACAAAACCCTGCCACTTCAGGTGGGGCACTTTGTAAAGGTCCTAGAGTTTCAAGTCAGAACATGGCAGGTACAGTCTGACCCCTTTTCCCAGAGGAATTAAAGCTTTCAGATCAAATAGCAGAGGTCTGACAAGAGGAAAAGTCCTGCTTGCATAAAGACTGAATACTTTACATCTTTGATAAATGAAGAAAAAAAAAAAAGAAGAGAGATCTGGAAGTAAAATGGTCTTGAAATTTTACGTCTATATTAACAAAAAAAAAAAAAAAGAAAAAAGAGGGTACTGGAAAGGAAATTAATTATTCTTTACTGACTCAACTGCAAAGAGGTATTTTTTTAAACCATTAATTTTGCTAGATTGTTTATTTGTGTAACTTACATCTTTGCTATACACTGAATTCCTAAATCTCCAGGAGGCCAGCAGATGCAAGCCAAAACTGTGTGTTTGGCTTATTGTAGAGTACTTCAAAACAGTGGGTATGATATAGTGTGTAACGAAAACTTTATTGTTGCATCATAGATTGCTATTCTCATAATAGCAAAATGAAAAGGTGGTAGAATTATTCCACCTCCTATTTAGGGCAGAAGCACTTTCCCAAAAAGTATAATGTCCCAATTCAATTCCCTTCTCTCCTCTGTGGGACTTGCAGCAGCATCTCCTGACTCCCAGGATGATGACCTAATAATCAAACTGTAGGACATTCTGCAGGGATATGATCTCAATCTCTCCTTTTGACACCATTTCACTTTGCATTAATAATTAAATTTTCATCACTGGGCTGCTGGTGAAAAAGGAGGATGGTACTTGTTCTACTGCTTTTACTGTGAATCCAATTATTTTCTATTGCTTTTTTCAGAAGTCTCCAAAGATAAAATATTAAGTTATAAGTCACATGAAGAGTTGCATTTAATATAGAAGTATTTGTTTTTCTTCCAAGGAAACCCAAGAGTTATATTTTAGTTTCATTTTTTTTAACTTTTATTTCCAATCTCAAAAATATAAGTATTTTCACAAATCTAACTCCATGATCATATTAAAATTGTGACTAAATCAGACCTCCAAAGCCAAAAAAGACATTTACAGACTGTTCTTTACTGCTGTAATACTGATTATTGAAGAGTAGATCCTTAAGATCTTTGCCCAATGTTCGGTAGAGAGAAGCTTAATAACGTATAGAATATACAACATCCATGAAATAAGGTACTTCTGCACAAGGTCTTACAAAATGTTATTTCTCACATGGGTCGTATTCTTTTCATGATGGAAACATATGACTCCTATAAATGATAACAACACTTTTGGACACACATTTAGAGAACAGATATTGAGCCTGTATCAACAGAAGTCTTTCAGAGACAGAT